GCCCCTAATTTCAGACCGCCAGGTACGGGACCTGTCCGCTGGCCCGCTCTGTCCGCATCCCCATGCAGGCGCCGTGAGCAGTCTAGCTTTGTTTATGCTTGAGTGAACACTAACCTGCGATCTCATTCACACATTTTACAATTATTTAATTGTGTTTAGTGCTTGTGGGGCTGTGAAATAAGCTGCCATGGGCCCAAAGAAACTTGCTAGCGGTACCCCTGTGGTAAAGAAAGTGAGAAACACCATAGATGTGAAGAAGGAAATAATACAGAAGTATGAGATTGGAGTGAGACTTGTTGAGCTTGCCAGGATGTACAGAGGCCTGTGGACAGTTATTTTGTGAGACAGAAACAGACGACTGTGGACGGTTATTTTGTGAGACAGAAACAGACGACTGTGGAGTTACATGTATTTTGTGAGACAAACTGATGATTGTGGACAGTTATTTTGTGAGACAGAAACAGACGACTGTGGACAGTTGTGAGACAGAAACAGATGACTGTGGAGTTATTTTGTGAGACAGACGATTGTGGACAGTTATTTTGTGAGACAGAAACAGACGACTGTGGAGTTATTTTGTGAGACAAACAGACGATTGTGGACAGTTATTTTGTGAGACAGAAACAGACGACTGTGGAGTTATTTTGTGAGACAGAAACAGACGACTGTGGAGTTATTTTGTGAGACAAACAGACGATTGTGGACAGTTATTTTGTGAGACAGAAACAGACGACTGTGGACAGCTATTTTGTGAGACAGAAATAGACGACTGTGGAGTTATTTTGTGAGACAGAAACAGAGGACTGTAGACAGTTATTTTGTGAGACTGGGGTCCAATGACTCTCAAGCTGGTCCTAGTGGCATTAAAATACAGAGAAGGGAAGCAACCCCAGAGAGGGCTTTGATACCGGAAGTCCTCATGGAGGGGGATTCTCCTTCCAAACAATAACCCCAACTCCCTCTCTCCTCCTCCCTATCTTCCAGATGCCATCACCAATCTTCAATAAAGGTGAGTAAAAATGTTATTTTATATTACTATACATAATTAAAGACTATAGCATTTGTTTTTGTGTATGTAAAACTGTAGTTAATCTCTATGAAATGTATTATTTTTGTGAAGATTTTTGGGTTTCTGGAACGGATTAATTGTATTTCCATTATTTCTTATGGGAAATATTGCTTCAAATTTCAGACTTTTCGAATTTAGAACTAGCTCCTGGAACGGATTAAGTTCAATTTTTGAGGTTCCACTGTATAAAAGAAAATTTTAGAAAGGACTTAATTTTAAATGAGCTCATGCTAATTGACCAGTTTTACGTATTCGGCACTACATATATACGACCAAAACAGTCAAAGGGTTAACACTCCCGTTTTAACCCTTTCAGCGTTTTGGCCATACTAGTACGGCTTACGCACCAGGGTCTTTGACATACTAGTATGCCTAAATTCTAGCGCCCTCAAATCTAGTGAGAGAAAGCTGTTAGGCCTACATATGAAAGAATGGGTCTATGTGGTCAGTGTGCACAGTATAAAAAAAATCCTGCAGCACACAGTGCGTAATGAGAAAAAAAAACTTTGACCGTGTTTTTTGGATTAAAACAGCGACTTTGCACTGTATTTTCATATGGTATTTATTGTTGTATTCTAGTTTTCCTGGTCTCATTTTATAGAATGGAAGACATATTACAGAAATCGAGATGATTTTGACTGGTTTTACAAAGAAAACTACCTTGAAATTGTGCTCAAAGTAACAGAAATGTTCGATTTTTACCAAAGTTCAAAAGTAAACAAATCATGCTATGCGTCCAATACATGTCAACTGGTGAGTCTAATATTCTTTCACAAGTGCGCTGATAATATTTATACTATTTCTACACCAATGCAGTAGTCTGCATAGCAGTAAATCTTCTATTTTTTTTTTTTTTGAGAATAAAAATTCAAAGTGGAAAGCAAAAGAATGTAAGAGGGGCATGGAGACATGACTAGTGAACAGAGGAAATGTTATTTTAGTGCCAGGAATGTCTTTCTTGTTTATTCTGGACCCTATTTGAAAATTGGCATCTTTTGAAATTTGTGTGAAATTGGCAAAATTGCTAAATTCTGACCACTGTATTGGATAGTTGAAATCGGTAAATGAGTGGTTTATTGTACTCATTCGATAGAAAAAATGGAGTTCTAGCGAAATAGTTATGATTTTTGTCGACAAGTACACTGGAATTGGCCGAAAATAGGGCTCAAAGTGGGCAAAATCGCCAATGCATAAACATCATCGAGACCGCTAACTTCACGAGAGCATAATTCCATAAGTTTTCCATCAAATTTCATACTTTTAGTGTCATTATGACCGGGAAAAGATTCTCTTATCTTTTCATAAGAAAAAATAATTTTTTTTTTTTTTTTTTTTTTTTTTTTTTTTTTTTTTAATTTGGCTGACCCTGAGAACAAGTCTCTGAGAGGGCCTGTCGACCCTGGAAGGGTTAAGAGGAAAGTGTCCTAAAACCTTTGCCCTTAGTAAAAAGAAACAAGTCTGGAACTGTAATTTCGGCAGGCTGGCTGGCTGGCCAGCTGGCTGTTTCTATCTCTCAGTCTGTCTGTCTGTATCTTTCTCTTTCTATATCTGTCTCTATCTCACAGGAACACATACGTAAATACAACTATACATAGTGTAAATTGCCTAGGATAACCCAAAAAATCCAGACAAAGTGCTACTCTGGAACTGTAATTTCAGCAAGCTGGCTGGCTGGCTGGCTGGCTGATTGGGTGTCGCTGTCTCCATCTCCATCTTTCTGTCTGTATCTATCTCTGTCTCTATATCTGTCTCTGTCTCACAGGAACACATTCGTAAATACGTACAATATACATAGTGTAAATTACCTAGGATAACAAAAAATCCAGACAATGTGCTATACTGTGCTTGTAGATAGTGATCGTGTGTAATACCAGATGGTTCATGAGCAACCCTTTGAGATAGACAGATAGACAGACAGAAATGTTTATGTGTAAGAGTGAAAACAAATAAAGCGAAGGCTCATCAAATGTCACCACTGTCATTAGCGGAGAGATAAGATTAGATAAGACGATGCTCATCAAATGTCACCACTGTCATTAGCAGAGAGACAAGATAAGATTAGACGTTGCTCATCAAATGTCAACACTGTCATTAGCGGAGAGATAAGATTAGATAAGATGATGCTCATCACTGTCAGCAGTGGAGTGAAGAGATAAGACAAGTGACACACTCTTACATCAAGCTTCAAGGGGGCTGCTAGCTGCCGCCGCCGCCGCCGCCGCCGCCGCCGCCGCCGCCCCGCACCGCCGCCGCCGCCACATACTATTGTCTAGAAATACTGCAGCAGCAGTACAGTGGACCCCCGCTTAACGATCACCTCCCAATGCGACCAGTTATGTAAGTGTATTTATGTAAGTGCGTTTGTACATGTATGTTTGGGGGTCTGAAATGGACTAATCTGCTTCACAGTATTCCTTATGGGAACAAATTCGGTCAGTACTGGCACTTGAACATACTTCTGGAATGAAAAATATCATTAAATGGGGGTCCACTGTATTTCTAGACAATAGTATGTGACTAAGGAAGGTGAAAATGTTCACCTGTCACTGCATTTATGACTATTTGAACACTATTTCAGTACCTAATATTAATGTCAGAACAAAGATTAACTATGAAATCACAAGAACTACTACAAATTGTCATTATCAGAACATAAAAATTATACAAATTAAAAAAAGAACGAGAAAAAAAGGTATATCGGCAACACATCTGCAAGTGGCAGTGCTTCATGTTGCCGTCAGGTGAGTGACAAGTGCTGACTTTGTGGCCTTACATCTCTGTAAGTACTGACTAGAAATTTTTTTTTATATTACTTTATGTAAAAAAATGTCCTCTTCATTTAAAAAAAGAAAAACAATTTTTTTATTTTTTCAAAATATTTGGAGTGCTGGGCGAGAGAACGTAGATCTACGTTTGGACAGTTAAGGGGTTAAAAGTTCCTCAAAATATTCCTGCCATCTACCCAATACCTCCAGCTCCCTATCTACTAACTCCCCTACTCTGTATATCTTTAGTTATTGTGTGATGACTGGTACTTGTATAACTGGTACATGTATGATGGACTGGCACTCGCATGATAACTGGGACATGTATGATGGACTGGCACTTGCATGATAACTGGTACATGTATGATGGATTGGCACTTGCATGAAAACTTGTACATGTATGATGGATTGGCACTTGCATGAAAACTGGTACCTGTATGATTTTGGTACTTGTATATTGATTTTACTATCTGCACGAAGACTGGTACCTGTATGATGAATGGTATTTTTTATATTGGTACTTGTATGATGAATGGTACCTTTTAGATTGGTACCTGTATGATGTGTTTTTATTTGTTCATGTTTGATGACTGTTACCTGAATGATGACTAGCATCTGTATGATGACTAGTACCTGTATAATGGTGTACTTTTTTGAATAGTGCCTGTATGATGACCAGTACCTATATAATGGTATACATTTTTTATTAATACTTCAGTATAATAGCTAGTACCTGTATGATGACTGGTGCCTGTATGATGACTGTGATACTTGCATAATGACAGTAGTTTGATCATTGTGTTACTTATGTCTCTTATATAATTATAATAACACACAGTAAAATAATAATCACTTTTTATATCAGACTAAAATCATGTTTTTTATATTTTATTTTAAAGTCATGCTCCTTGATGTTTTAGTTTAGATTAAATAAAGTCCTGTTCCTTGATGTTTTATAGTAAATAAAGTCATGGTTCTTGATGTATTTAAAAGAAAATAAAGTCATCATACTTGATTTATTTAAAGGAAAATAAAGTCCTGGTTCTTGATACAAGTTACATATTAAGTAAAGTTTTTCTAATATTCAAAATATTTTCTTTATGAAAGAAAATCACTGGCTATTCTATAATGAGTTTTTATTTTATTTTCAACTTTGTTTCCTACAGTCATCTGTGTCCAGCTCCATCTATGAGATGCTCTATGAATATCCTTACGAGACCTACAACCATCCTGGTTACTCCTATGATGACTCTGTTGCTTCAACATCCATAAGCACCTTTGATGTGGCAGTTGATGTATCTCGTGACCCTGGTACCACCGAGTATAGTAAGCCAAACACACCAGAGAATACAGATGGTTTTTCTTTGTGAAATATTTTAAGGGTTTCATAGACCTTGTTTTAGGCAAATCTTTAATTTTTTTTGCAAGATTTGTCTTGTAAAACACAAATACCAAAAAATTACTTCTTTGCAGATGTTACAGTGTGTGATTACATTTCATAATTTGATTGGTATAAAGAGAGCCATTATCATTCCAGGGCATTTCAGGCAAACTTAACCTAATACTTAGACTACTTAAGTCCAGACAGGTAGAGAGTGGTAAATTTCAAATATTCATTATTTTACTCTGTTACTACTATGAGGTAGCCCGATATTTTTAGTTAATAAGCTTTATAGTTTTAACGTAGCTGTAACTGATAACATTACGTATTACGTATAGTAAAATTTATGATACAATTTTAGGTATGTAATAACGGTTTAATAGATTAGGGGTCATAAAATGTTTGGGAGAGTTGCTTCAAAACTGGTTAGAAATTACCATAGTGTGGGTATGGTTATTATTGAGAGAGGAGATGATTTTTAATTTTTTTTTTTTTTTAACACGTCGGCCATTTCTCACCAAGGCAGAATGACCCAAAAAGAAAGAAAACCCCTAAAAAAGGAAAAAACTTTCAACATCATTCAACACTGTCACCATCACTCATACTTAATCACTGTCTTTGCAGAGGCAACAGTTTAGATGTCCCTCCAAACTGCCAGTATCGCAAACCCCTCCTTTAAAGTGCAGGCATTGTACTTCCCATTTCCAGGACTCAAGCCTGGCTAAGTCTGGCATTATTATTATTATTATTATTGTTATTATTATTGTTCTTTCAACAAACCAGCCATATCCCACCGAGGCAGGGTGGCCCAAAAAGAAAACCAAAAGTTTCTCTTTTTAACTTGTGTAATTTATACAGGAAAAGGGGTTACTAGCCCCTTGCTCCCGGCATTTTAGTCATTTCTTACGACACACATGACGTACAGAGGAAGAATTCTGTTCCACTTCTCCATGGAGATAAGAGGAAATAAATAAGAACTAGTAAGAAAATAGAAGAAAACCCAGAGGGGTGTGTATATATATGCTTGTGCATGCATGTGTAGTGTGACCTGAGTGTAAATAGAAGTAGCAAAATGTACCTGAAATCTTGCATGTTTATTATTATTATTGTTAGGTAGTAGGTTGGTAGACAGCAATCACCCAGTGAGGTACTGCCGGCCTACCAAATGAGTGTGAAACACAAGCCTGTAATTGTTTTACATGATGGTAGGATTGCTGATGTCTTTTTCTGTCTCATAAACATGCAAGATTGCAGGAATGTCTTGCTACTTCTACTTACACTTAGGTCACACTACACATGCATGTACAAGCATATATATGCTAACCCCTCTGGGTTTTCTTCTATTTTCTTCCTAGTTCTTGTTCTTGTTTATTTCTGCTTATCTCAGTGGGGAAGTGGAACAGAATTCCTCCTCCGTAAGCTATGCGTGTCATAGGAGGTGACTCAATGCCGGGAGCAATTGGCTAGTAGCTGCTTCTCCTGTAGAAAATACTAAAAACAGGGAAAAGAAAAACTTTATAAAATTGGGATGTTTGAGTGTGCACGGATGTAGTGCAGATGATAAGAAAGAAATGATTACTAATGTTATGAATGAAAAGAAGTTGGATGTCCTAGCCCTAAGCGAAACAAAGCTGAAGGTGATAGGGAAGTTTCAGTGGGGAGAAATAAATGGGATTAAATCAGGAGTATCTGAGAGAGTTAAGGAAGGGGTAGCAATAATGTTGAAAGATCAGTTATGGAGAGAGAAGAGGGAACATGAATATATATAAATTCAAGGATTACGTCGATTAAAATAAGGGTTGAATGTGAAAAGTGGGTCATAATAAAGTGTGTATGTACCTGGAGAAGAGAGTGTGTGTGTAAAGAAGAGAGAAAGAATTTGGGAGATGTTAAGTGAGTGTATAGGAACTTTTGAGCCAAGTGAGAGAGTAATTGTGGTAGGGGACCTAAATGCTAAAGTAGGAGAAGTGTTTAGAGAGGATGTGGTAGGTAAGTTTGGGATGCCAAGTGTAGATGATAATGGGGAATATTTGATTGGACTTTGTATAGAAAGGTGTTTGTTATAGGTAACACATATTTTAAGAAAAAGAGGTTAAATAAGTATACAAGATATGATATAGGGCATAATGACAGTAGTTTGTTGGACTATTTATTGGTAGATAAAAACTGTTGAGTAGACTTCAGGATGTACATGTTTATAGAGGGGCCACAGATATATCAGATCACTTTTTAGTTGTAGCTACAGTGAGAGTACAAGGTAGATGGGATACAAGGAAAATGGAAGTAGCAAGTAAGAGAGAGGTGAAGGTTTATAAACTAAAGGAAGAGGCAATTAGGGTAAGATATAAACAACTGTTGGAGGACAGATAGGCTAGTGTGAGTATAGGCAATGGAGTAGAAGATGTATGTGGGTAAGTTTAAGAATGTAGTGTTAATGTTCAGCAGAAGTTTATGGTTACAAGAAAGTGGGTGCAGGAGGGAAGAAGAGCAGTTGGTGCAATGAGGATGTAGAGAGAGTAGTATGAGAGAAAAGGTTAGCATATGAGATGTTTTTACAAAGTAGAAGTGATGCAAGGAGGGAGGAGTATTTTTTTTTTTCAACAAGTCAGCTGTCTCCCACCGAGGCAGGGTGATCCAAAGAGAAAGAAAATCCCCAAAAAGAAAATACTTTCATCATCATTCATCATTTAACCTCACTCATACATAATCACTGTCTTTGCAGAGGTGCCCAGGTACAACAGTTGAGAAGAATATATAAAGATATATAACATATCCCTCCAAACTGCCAATATCCCAAACCCCTCCTTTAAAGTGCAGACATTGTACAGTGGACCCTCAACCAACGGCATTAATCTGTTCCAGAGAGCTTGCCATTAGTCAAATTTGCTGTTGGTTGAATTAATTTTCCCATAAGAAATAATGGAAATAGAATTAATCCGTTCTTCACACTCCAAAGTATGAAAAAAAAATTTGTTTTTACATGAAATATACATTTCCCTACACCAAAACGAATGGGACATGCAAAATAAAAAATAATTAAATGCCACTCACCTTTATTGTGGAGTTGTTGATGAGTGATAAGACGGTAGGAGGGAACATGGTGGAGGTGTTTTATTGTTTGGAAGGGGAATCCCCTTGCATAAATACTTCAGGTACCATGTCCTTTGGTGGGGTTACCTCCATTCATGGTTTTTTAATGCCACTAGGACCAGCTTGAGAGTCACTGGGCCCCTGTTGCACAAAATATCTGTCCAGAGAGCTCTGTTTCTCACATGCCCTTAGGATTTTCTTAAAATGGGACACAAGAGTGTCATTGTACATGTTGCCAATATGGCTTGCAACTTCTGTGACAGGATAAAATTCATCGATAAATGCTTGCACCTTTGTAAACATTGAACACATTTCCCTAATCCTTGAAGAAGTCATCTTCCTCCATCTCTCTTCATCCTGCTCTGAAGAACATTCCTGAGGTGTGATCTGTTGCTGTTGCACCTGAAACTCTTGCAGGTCTGCAGTGGTTAGTTCTTTCTTGTTGTTCTGCACCAACTCTTCCACATCCTTGCCACAAACCTCCAACCCCAAGGACTTTCCAAATGACACAATACCTTCCACTACTGGCATAGCCTTCTGAGGGTTAGCCTCAAACCCTTCAAAATCCTTCTCTTCTACACATTCTGGCCACAGTTTCCTCCAAGCAGAGTTCAAGGTCCTCTTAGTCACTCCCTCCCAAGCCTTACCTATAAGGTTTACACAACTGAGGATATTGAAGTGATTTTTCCAAAACTCTCTTAGAGTCAATTGAGTGTCTGAGGTCACTTCAAAGCACTTTTGAAACACTGTTTTTGTGTAGAGTTTTTTGAAGTTTGAAATGACCTGCTGGTCCATGGGCTGGAGGAGAGGAGCTGTATTAGGAGGCAAAAACTTCACCTTAACAAAACCAAACTCCCCTGCAATTTCCTCTTGCAAGTCATGAGGATGAGCAGGAGCATTATCCATTACCAGGAGGCACTTGAGTGACAGTTTCTCTTCCTGGAGGTATTTTGTCACAGTGGGGCCAAACACACCATAAAACCAGTCCAAGAAAAATTCCCTAGTGACCCATGCCTTACTGTTTGATCTCCACAGCACACACAAATTACCCTTGACGATATTGTTTTTCCTGAACACTCTGGGAGTCTCAGAGTGATACACCAATAGAAGCTTTACTTTGCAATCACCACTAGTATTACTACACAACATTAATGTCAGCCTGTCTTTCAAAGGCTTATGTCCTGGGAGTGCCTTTTCCTCCTGAGTAATGTAGGTCCTGTTTGGCATTTTCTTCCAAAACAGGCCTGTTTTGTCACAATTAAACACTTGTTCAGGTTTTAAGTTTTCAGTTGCTGTGTATTCTTTAAAGTTGTTCACATATTTTTCAGCCACTTTTTTGTCTGAACTGGCAGCCTCACCATGCCTTACCACACTGTGTATGCCACTATGAATCTTAAATCTCTCAAACCAGACTTTGCTGGCCTTAAATTCATCAGCAGCAGCACTATTTTGAGGCATTTTCTTAATGAGATCATCATGCAACTTCCTTGCCTTTTCACAAATTATAGACTGAGAAACACTATCTCCTGATAACTGTTTTTCGTTTATCCATACTAATAACAGTCTCTCTACCTCTTCAATTATTTGCGGTCTCTGTTTTGAAAACATACTTGAACATTTCGCAACAACAGCTTCCTTGATTGTCTTTCTGTTTGCCAAGATAGTACTGATGGTTGAATGTGATTTGTTGTATTGCCTTTCCAACTCAGACATACGCACTCCACTCTCATATTTGTCAATTATCTCTTTCTTCATTACCATTATAATTCTCACCCTTTTTACCACAGGCTTGGCAATAGGAGCTTTCTTGGGGCCCTTGGTGGCTTATTTAGAGGTTACAAGCACTAAAAACACA